CTTGAGACGAAGATATGAAACTTACTTAAGAATGAGGCAGCACATTCTACCCAATAGCCTTATGTAAATTTTCGTCACCACAACCTGAACCTGGCAGGCTGGCACCTTTTACTGATTTTGCAAACATAAACTACAATTAAGTAGTTAACCCTCAAAATTAGTTCGCGATATCAGTCCTTAGGCTCGCGGCAGGGTGGCCCAGTGGTTAAAGTTCGTAGTACCAAGATTGGCGCAGAGAGGCGCGGGTTCGATCCCAGCTCTGTGCGCCAGTTTTCGGTCAGAATCGGTAAGAAGGCCGGGCGGTTAAGCACTGCAGAATTAGAGCAGTGAGTTGCGAGTTCGAGACCGCAAAATGCTGTAAGTTTTCTGCGATGTTAAGAATCGGCGACGCCTACAAAACTCTGAAACCGCTATATTATTATTATTGTAATTATTATTATTATCATTATTATTATTATTATTATCATTATTATTATTATTACTAATATTATTATTATTATTATCATTATTATTATTATTATTATTATTATGGAGTGTAACTTAGTGTTAAAGTCTTTGGGGGAGGATGAGAAGAACTATTATATTATTCCTACAAGACTTTTCAATTTTTGTTGCGGATTTAGATTTCGAGACTCTACACCAGGTTTTCCTTGCTTTATGCAATCTATTAACATTAATTATTATTTTGCATGCGCTAAAATTTGTTGTAAGATGGAAAACGTAGCTTACGATCCAACTTTGAACATAAGTGGGCAGTGATTAAGTTTAAAAGTACCAGGATTTAGTAGTGAGCTGTGGGTTCGATCTCAGCTTCCTGCGACAGTTCTGGTCAAATCGGCTAAACTGCCGGGTGGTGAAACACAGTGGATATTGGAAAGTGAGTTTCGTGCTCGAGACTTACAAGAAACCGTTAAAATGTTCTGTGACGTTCAGAATTAATCGGCAACGGGGATAATCTTTAACTCTGTTACTGCTATTATTATGTATTATTATGAAGCATGCAAAGAAATGAATTTCTACAGGAAGTAGGAGCCACGCTAAGTAGCGCAATTTTATTTCCTTACCGTGGTATGCTTCAAAGCATTGTGAAAAATGCGCAACACTCGCAAAAAAACAAACACGTGTGTGAACACATCCAAAATAATCACACAAGTCGACAAATTATGTCGCTGCAGAAAAACTTTGATACTCTGTAAATTAGTGGCTTCTGAACTCATGTTGATAAATGAAAATGCAACATGATTTGAGTTTTGAATTTAAAGAGTTTACATTTTGAGTTAATGTAAAAGTATCATAGCTTTGAGTTTTCATCCTTTTCCAGATTCTCGTTTCAGCATCGTGTTTCTACTGATGCGGCGTTTTGTTCATTAAGCATAGGCCAAAAATATCAAAAACTATTTTGGCCAAGTTTGGCAACAAATTTGGGGAGAAGTTTTAAATTCTCAGTAACCTGTGATGCTTCAAAGTTCAAACAGCTACTAAGCATTGAGAGAGCTTGTTAAAATATTTGCAACAGTAACTTTGAGAGTTTTAGTTTTATTCTATGTCATATTTTGTTCTAATTTCAAACGTTTCTATTATTTTTTTCTGAAATGAAAATTTTTACATACTGTTGATCCGATCGAAGTAAGCGTTTGACAAAGTCGACCATGGAATGCTCTTCAGAAAATTAAGACTGTTGGGAGTCGGAGGTGAATTGCTGGCATGGATCCACAGCTTCCTAACAGAAGGACTTCAAGCTGTAGTTGTTGGAGGCTCGAGATCGAGCGTGGCTAGGGTGAAGAGTGGAGTACCACAGGGAACGGTACTCGGCCCAATCCTCTTCCTCATCCACATCGCCGACATAGATGTGGCAGTGAACCACGCCACTGCATCGTCATTCGCGGACGACACCAGGATATTAATGACCATCACGGACAGGACGGACAGTGAGAGGTTGCAAGAAGACCTCTCTGCAATATATGACTGGGCCCTAGTGAACAACATGCAGTTCAACGGGACCAAGTTTGAGGTCCTGAGGTACAGAGGAACGGGAAGAGCTGGAATGGATCACCGCTACCTGGCACCTGACAACTCGGAAATCGAAGAGAAGCGACTCGTTCGCGATCTTGGAGTGTTGATGAACAATCAGGTCAATTTGGTGATCACATACCGGCAATAACCGCAAAAGGTAGACGGCAAATAAGGTGGATCTGGCGGACGTTCAGAACGAGAGAAGCGGAACCGATGATCACGCTCTTCAGAGCCCTTGTAATACCTATCCTTGAATACTGCTGCCAGCTCTGGACTCCGTTCACACTAGGCGCAATACGGCAACTGGAAGGAGTCCAACGAACCTTCACTTCCAGGATCAGAGGAATGGAGAATTTTAACTACTGGGAGAGGTTACAGCGACTGAGTCTGTACTCACTACAGAGGAGACGGGAGAGATATGTCATTCTGTACACATGGAAAATGATAACCGGAATGGTGCCAAACTTCGAGAGCAAGACCTTCAGGATTCAGACATATCACAACGAGAGAAGGGGGAGACTGTGCAAGATCCCCCCCCCCTACGAAACAGATCATCAGTCAGATTTCAATCCCTGCGGGAAGGATCACTTTTCGTGGCAGGGCAAAGGTTGTTCAACGCCCTACCAAGGGATCCAAGAGAGGGGAAATTCACCCTGGAGACATTCAAGAGAAAACTAGACGTGTTCCTGAGCACAATCCCAGATCGACCTCCCCTGCAACACTACCAGCGGCGAGAAGCAAGCAACAGCATTGTGCATCAGGGGGCCCAAATGAGGGCGGATGAACGATAATCAGAGGCGGCGATCCATCGTGGCCTGGGACTGCTATGTCCCAAACAAATACTAAGGATACTAAGAGGCCTCCTCTCTCCTTTGAACTTGGCACCGGTGAGTGAATTTAAAAAATCACCTGGCTCCTTTTCGTTGCAAAAACCTAGCGCCCTGGGTGTTCAGAACACTAGAGCTCTACCAACCAAGCTTATCGAAATCTAGTAGCTTCCCTTCGGCCTATTGGAAGCCCGGCAACAGCGGATCAATTTTGTATAAAGATGTATTCAATAATTTTTATGAAATTAGGTAACTTGAATTAAAATTATACACACGAAGCCAAATGATGCATGCGTTTAGCGCTTCGTGCCTCCGTATTCGAGTCTGGCGGTTTGGCCTCCATCTATGAGGTTCTCTGCACCAGCTCCACCTATGAGGTTCTCTACACCAGCACCTCCACATCCAGGCCGCCACTACCGCTTTCGTTCACAGTCACACCATCACACATAGTCACATACAGTAGTATTCAACTGACTGTTGAGTTGTGAGGTCGTGTGTCTTGCTGCGTGCGTGAAGCTAGTCAGCTGTTGTTGGTGCGGTGAATGCTCGCTACGGGGCTAAGATTACGGGACGCTCAATAAGAGTCTTTCATTGTCTATAGGCATCGTGGTGACTTCGTCTCGCTCTAAAAATGGATGACAAAAGCAATATAGATTCCATACAGGTGACTGTACGGCATTGATGGCTACGACGTTGAGGCGAATAATAGAACCAAGTGCCTTCCGCCCTTGTTTGAAAAACCTATGCGTTTGTTGAAGAAATTGATACAAGTTTTTCCATAGACGAATGTACTCGAGACAATGAAATAGGAACACTTGCTTCTTCCAAGCATCGAATGCATTGGCTTCGTAAACCGATTTGGCAAAATATTCTTTTGTAAGAAAGAGTAAGAGTGTAAGACATACTTTTGCGGATATTTGTTGTTTCTTCCGAATTCATTTTTTGGTTTTTGCTAAGAACGTGCCGCTATGTACAGTTTGACAATCATCATTCATATTTTAATTTTTATAAATGTAACTACTACCACAATTTTCATATGGTATCTTTTTGCATTCTTATAAATTTGTGTAGCTACGTGTAGCTCTAATGTAAGCTATCATGCTCAGCTAGCTCACGGGTTACGTATTCAAATTTATTATAGAAGCGCTATCCCTATGCAAACTTAGTGCATAATGATAATAAAGTATAAAAATTGTTGCAGATAGCGATTTAAGAAAATTTTCATTACATCCAAAAGTGTGATTGTGAGGGCGCACTTCCTCAAGGTTAACGAGTGCAGTTAGGTATGCGCTGCTCGTGTCCAGTCTTCGAAGGTTAGGTGCACCTCTTATGGCGCCTGGCTAACGATAAAAATCTCAAATAAAAGATGTCTGGGCAACGTATATAGGCCAATTCACTTCAGAATGTCCAATCACTAAAATCTGAAGACTTGAGCTAACTTACGTGGCGAGTTGACATATTTTTTATGCGTCAAACGCTCAAAGATAATAATACGAAGAAGTTGCAAAATTGACATATTTTACAATTTAACGATTTACAACCGATTGACAGTGCTCGCTGAAGGAATATATTTATTGCTTATATAACTAAAATCTATAAGGGTTAGTGACAGATATGATGCAATAGATGTGTGCATCTAGCAATCGCATTTGAATAAACTTGAAGACAATTACTGTTGTTTCGTTGATTTCCGCGTGTTTTGAATTAACTGACGGTTGGCATTTAGTGATTTCTAAACCCAGCGTGCGCTTGAAACTAGTTGTATGTTGTCTAGTGTAGTGGCCATCGGACGTCTCAGTTGGAAACGAGTCTTCGTCTTACGCAAAGGCAACATTTGAAGTGGAAACTTCAATGAGGGCCGGATCACTTCCTACTTCAGGTTGAATTGTCACGCCAGCACCCTTTGACTACCTGAAAAGCGTCGCATACAAGGGCTAAATAAGTCAATTGTGATATAGTCATCTTCAGCGATTTGAAGATGACGTGAATGTGTCGTGAAATCGCTGAACGTGAATGTGTCCAGGTGTTTGTTATTCGCAAAATTGTAGCTATCGGCTCTAATTGCTAAACCGTTTCTGTTTAATTATTTTACGGTTATTCCTGGCAGTGTTTCGTGTTGAACGCATACATTTTATCGTAATTTGTTAATTGCAATACAATTATTTAATTTTTTTTTAACTTGGCTTGTATTGAATTGGAAAGAGTGCTATTTATAGTTCCAAGCAAGCAAAGCTCCCTGTAATCGATGGAAAGAATGATGATCCCTGTAACCAATTCTGATTAAATTTACTTGACAGTGCTTACTAGCTATACCTAATGTTCGTGGCAATTATGAATTTTCAAAAAAATTGTGAATTATTGTGCTTGTATATTGCCTCTTTCGACTTTTCAGGTCATTGTGTAGGTTATTAAGATGAATTCAACAAATTAATTTGTTGTCTGTCAGTTACTCTCTAAAATAGGCTACCCAAAATAAACATTGTGTATCATCGGCGTTGCTGCACCCGATCGAGGTAGCAGCGAGTCTGAGAAGAAGAGCTTTGTTTGCATTAGCAGCACAGTCATGCCTCACTTGAATGCATTGCCTAACGACAGAGTGAAGAAAGCCAGTTATTACGTGTGGTTTCTCGGCGCGAGTGAATGCAGAGGCCTGCGAGGCAGTGATGTGGTTTCATCAGTGCTCGGAAAACTTTTAGGGAGAGAACGGTCAGAGGAACCACAGAAGGTCACTCTTCAAGTATCATCGAAAGGGATCAAGTTATTGCAGTTACTCCAGGATGGTTTAAATTTGGGCATTGGTGGATTGGATGGTGGAGGCCGAGCAGCGAAACATCTGATTCCAGCTGGTGCTTTAACATACGTTCAACAGGAAAGTCCTCCCAATGACGATCTAGTGACTGCCGTTTTACTGATTTATAATCCAGTCACAAGGTGCCCGGTGCATCTGCATGCTTACCGTTGCGACTCCTCTGACACTGCAACAATTCTGCGCGACCACCTCGAGCAACTGGTCAATAAACCTCAGCAGCAGGCCAAACTCTCTGCCCTGGAATCCAGACTAGCGAGTCGTGGTCTGCTGCCTAGGAATCGTTCATCTGCAGTCTTCGGGCCATCGTCCAACACTAACCTAAGTAACGGAGCCTCCCTAGCTGCATTGTACGATTCGCTTGCAAACGAACTCAAAGAAAAACTCGGCGGCGCAGGCAATTCTGCCGGTCCTTTATTGTTGCTGCCTCCTCGTGACTACCACAGCAATAGACACGAGGACGACTCGGCCAGGTCTTCGGGTATAGGAAGTGACGACGCACCTCCATCTCCGCTCCTGGATTCCTCTCATCATCGTTCCCCCCTCAACAGACAACCGTCGTCTTCCGGTGAGTCTTCTGATTATCTCTCACGATTGAGATCTTTAGTCATAACGTATTCGATAATTATTTCTAAACTTTGCAAGGTTTTCAGAAGCGGAATGCAAATTTTGACGTTTATTATCCTCCTTAAACCTCAAAAAGCTTGTGTGATTTTACTTTTTGGTTATAGAACTAAAAAGCTTTGACTACATAGCGGTAAGTTTGAATAATTCAAAAGAATCCTGAAATTTTAATGCTCAATGGGATTCTGTAGTAGTTGCGGTCAAATATTTGCAAACCGCCTTAGTAGTTTCAATAATACTAAAATTGAACTTTATTTACACAGCTTTCTTCGTTGGGAGTTTAATTCTTAACAGAATTGGAATTTTAGTATTCAATTCGTAACGTACTACGTTTAGTTTTTATGAAGTTTTGGATGGAATTGTTTGAGATTAACGCAAAATTAGCGCATGATATGCTTTTTGATGCTGTACCTATTCAATCATTTATTGAAGTTCAAAATTATTTTAATGTCAGGAATACGGAAGTTTTTAACTATTTTGACCTAGCAAAAGTGAGGAAGCTGAAATAGCAAAAAATTATTTATTCATATTATGTAGTTAGAATGAAAACATAGTATGAAAAAACAAATAAAAAAAACTTTTAAAAACCACGTTTTCTTAACGGACAAAAAAGAAAAAACATTAACTCTTAGATAACATTAAAATTATGTAGAATGTTATGTAATTTTATGTAAGTGTTAATGTTTTTCTTTTTTGTCCGTTAAGAAAACATGGTTTTTCAAAGTTTTTTTTTTGTTTTATTTCATTGTTTTTAGTTTTGTAACCACCAGAAAAACATGGTTTTTAAAAATGTTTTTTTTTGTATATTTATTTATTTTCTACTTTTTAGTTTAGCAATTTTAGCAATTAAAATCATTTTCCAGGGTTGGCAACTCTGGATGTTCGACAAAAAACTGGATTCCCAACCATGAATTTTTAGGTTTTTTTATTTTTTTAATTAAAAATTTTTTTTAATTATTACTTCTGATGATCAAATCTTGAATTGTTAGGCAGCATAAGCATGCATGCCAAATTTCAAGTTTCTAGGATCTTCAGAAGTGCTCTAAATTAAGTTTTGAATTTTTGATGACAGACAGACAGACACGAAACGAAAATAAGAAAAACGTGGTAAAAATTATTATATGTACATATTCTAACAGATTATATTATCTATTTGAAAGCATCATACAAAAAATTATTATGTATTCTGAAATATATCCCATCAATTTGTACTAGTTGATCCCGGTCTAAGTGCAAATGCGAGATAGCTGGAGGCATAATATATAAAATGAATTAGAAAATACTATCATGAATGCGCAAGATCCAAATAAATCAAGCTATTGTTCAGCACAAAATCTAAATTTATTTATATTATTATATATTAGTATGGTTAGGCAGAAGTGCATGAATTCTTATATTATTATATACCTATGTAATATATTGTATAATCCGTACCAGTTGAACCTGGCCAAAGTGCTAACTAACGCTAGACGCTTGCGTCGCCCGACTGGCTGGCTGGTTGGCTGACTGCTCGAGCTGCCAGATCAGGACATTGAACCGAGGATCGTTTTATGGAGACATGCGTTGGTGGAGCGCGATCTAGTGTCAATGTATTTAAAGGCTCCAGGCAGGTTCGGGTGGAGTTTCCTTCGAGTTGGCGGTGATATAATTAAGCTCTGCAGATGTAATGATGGGTTGTATTGAACGTTTCCGCTGAACCGCATAGAAAATCTTTAATCGTGTGATCGTTTGAGATTAAGGGATCAGATAACACTTTATTGCCTCACGAGAGGAGAAAGAAGCGCGAAGTCAACTCGCTGATTTCGTGGAATATTTTGCATCGTTCTGTGATGTTTTGTATGGAATATATATAACTTCAAAGAAGGTTGTTAGATTTCCAAGCGTACTTAGAATCATGAAATTCTTATATGAATGTTAAGCATATCTTGATGCGTCGTGATAACGTGGCATTGCATTAGCAATGGACTGAAATTTGCTTTGGGTCCATTCTATCGGGTATTAATTATAGATTAAAACCATCATTGGAATGTAGAAATTTGCTTCTCGTCTCCTTATTATTCTAAAAAATGATTGATTAATGTTTATAACAATTTTAAGATGTCATGCAAGATTGATGTACTTTTTCATCCATAATGATAAATTTCATCAAAATATCTTCTTCGTTGTGTCTCAAGGTGGATGGAAACTAAAATCTAAAAGGGAGAGAACCTCATACGTAAAGAATAACTTCTATAAATTCTTATAAATTATTCTCACTGATGTTCAAATAGAAACGTTCAATATTATCATACTGAACGCGTTAACCTGTCACTATTTTACGAAGTGACACACCGCGATCTTTGTTCATCCCACATCGCCCTGAGCGTGACACTGTTGGCGCTGCTTCTACTCCACACAAGATCATTTAAGGTCTGGCGTGACCGTCAGTAGTTCCTTGAACCACTTCCGAGGTTGTGAAGGATACGCGCATGTACGGATGCAACGTGAAACTATGTACGTATATGTTTACCGGACGAGGTGTTTCTTTGTCTTCTCCACAGAGCTAAGAAATTTGTTGGGGCTGTTGACGCGAGAATAAGGCAGCTATGAACGCAGCAAATATTTATACTGTGACTTTTGAACATTTCACTGTGACGAACGAAACTAATGTCCATGCCAAATTCGTTTAGTTTCGTACTTCACTATCAGTTACTGTTGCGTATGCTCTGGCTTTGTGGCGAATTTAATTTTACCACGATTACCATAGCAAAAGATTACATGTCTTCAATTGCTATGTAAGCCCCCATACGGGTTATGCGCATCACAGAAGCGAGACAATTTTTGAAATGCCTTCGATTCCAAGGTGGATTCTTGATGTATTTATATTTTCAACAAAACATTTACGCAAGTGTCTAAAAATATAAAAATTGTTCGGTCTATTACTGGAAATTTGTCGTTTTTTATAATTGAAAACTAGTACCTATGCACTGTATGATTTTGACTCAGATAAACGGCCATGTTATTTTAAATGCAGCATGGAACTCAATACATGAATAACCTTCGTGCGTGAGCGGCATTAACTTGCTGATTGCAGCATTTAATCTGTCCTCACTCGGTTCTTACATGCGTGCGTACCGCAGACTTCTTTTGGTTTTGGCTAAGATTTTAAAATCAAAACTTCTTTTGAACAAAACTTCAAAAACTTCTAATCAAAACTTCTTTCTGTATTGAATTAGGAAATTTAGTGCGAACATTCAGAATGAGAACTTTAATTCAGTATGTAAGGCCAGCTCGATGAAAGGAAGGGAACGGCCTAGGTTTGTCCCTCGACCACCAGAGCTTGGCTCACTCGGCCCCTCGTGCAGGGCGTGAGTGGCGTGCGTGTTGAAGTGGGACAGGGACACGCGTGGGTGACACGCTCTCTCACACACGACACTCTCTTCCTAGTTACCAATTATTTCAAGCAGATTTATATATACACACGTAGGGGTAGTCTATTACTGATGGTTTCTTGCTACTTGCACACGCAAATGAAAGTGATAGTGAGAAGAAATAGGCCTATTGAAGAAATAGGCCATGGGCCTATTTCTTCAACGCCGACACTTCTATTCTATCCTATTCTATTCTAATAGAAGAAAACGTTGTATTTATAATATAATAGACGTTTTTTGAACCGAAGTAATGTCATGTAAATGAGAAGGATGATTTTAAGTTGATGGTCTACGAAGCAGTCTTCAAGTTTAAATATGATGCATTCACATTGCTGCAGATGGACGCAATTTTTATGATTATTGATTATTATTTTTATGATTATTTGTTAGTTTGGAATAACTTTTTTTTGAGCAATCTAATTACTCGTCTCACTCCTCAGAAACACTTGACTTTGATCCTTACAGCCTTCATCATTTGTGATAAACAAATTTGTAAATGATCAATGCCAAAATTTGTGATACATCAGACGTCAAATTGAATTGTGAATTCTATTTATTTGCAAATAAAAGCATTTTTTGTTCTTCCATCTAATGAATACCGAAACGCGCGTGAAATCTCCATGACCAAAAGAAGGCAGTTGATATTATGGGCTCTCACAGCCTTGCACCTGTAGTACAGTTAAATGAGAATTACCGCCAACTAATTAGTGGTGTAATTAACGCAACAAGCTGGCTGTGTGATATTATAATAGAAAATGGCCTAACTCGTGCGGTGAAGGCCGGCCTTCAATTATGAGCTTACCCATGAACACCTGCATTGGAGTTGATGATTAATTGAATAATTAGTTAAAATTAGTGATAAATTAAGAGTATAATTCTTTTAAATATAGTGGGAAAATTCATGCTCTAGACGCTGAAGGTTATTTATTATATTTAATAAATTAAGATTTATTTTCCACTAATCTCTCAGCCTCGTAAGAAATTTAGTTTTTTTCCAATTTTAGAAGTAATGAGCTGGAATATATGTGTCTCCATCCACACCATTATGAAAAATAGAGCTAGCTTTTGGTGGGGCAACACAGCCTTAATTGTGCCTCTACCATGCAGTGATGTACACTAACTACCCCACTCCGGTTGATAAATTGTCCTTTGGTCACGGGACGTATTCATACGGATTGCAGAAATTCTTTTTGCTGCATTAAACACTCGTCTGATTTCCATAGGTGTGTTGACGTAGGATGTTGCGGTCTACTGCCGCTAATTTTTTAATTTCAACTTCCGTTGACTAGAGCGCATCTGTCGTCTGGTTTTGCGGACAGCGTTTAAAGTGCGGAATGTGTGTCATATAATACGCGTGTTGCTTAACTGTAACGCGGAGCTCTGAACGCCTGCAGCTCGTACGTGTTCTTTAGAGTAACTGTAGCATTCCGTAGCTTGCTGGCTTGCGAGGTGTCAAAGCACAATCTTTTGAAGCCGTAGTACTGAATGGCATGCCGCCGTGCTGCTATTCAGCTGGTATGTTTTGCACGTTAAT